AAAATAGATAACTTATCATGATGCTTCCTGTTGTGTATGAATCAAGTATCAGATCTACAAATGCTGAATGTGTCAGAGATGGAAGGACATTCTTTTGATGTACTCTGAGCAATTCACATGATAATGATGATATTCATGATATGATGAAATACACATGAATCAGAGTGAGGGCCAGGAAACCATGGGGCTGGGGATTCCTGCTGTGCTTGTTGGATTCTGGATTAGCACAGCATTGACAACCAGCAAGAAGAGGGTAAGGCTTCTTGTGTCTCWCTGCAGCTCCTGCTGACCTGACTTGAGAGGGCTGGGCAGGGGTCCTTTAGGGAATTAACCAAAATGAGAAAAGGATCCTGTGCCTTTTATCAAAATGTGTTTTTCTCCTCCTCCCAGAGTTGTGCTGACACACTTAATAACACTTTATTTTCTTTTGTCTGTTCCAAGCCATCCTGACCATGTGTGCTATGGTCTTTTTTTTTTTTTTTTTTTTAAAGAGAGAGTGAGAGATGAGAGAGAGAGAGAGAGAATTTTTTCAATATTCATTCCCTAGTTCTCGGCAGACACAACATCCTTGTTGGTATGTGGTGCTGAGGATCGAACCYGGGCCGCACGCATTCCAGGCGAGCGCGCTACCGCTTGAGCCACATCCCCAGCCCTGTGCTATGGTCTTAAGCCAAGGCTCTCACCAAAGCCCTGTTCCCATCCCTGTCCCTCGTCCCCCATCTCTGGGGACCATTAGGAGGGAGCATCCAGCATGTGACTTTGTTAATGCCTATTCAAATGATATTAAGGTGAGAAAAGCCAGGGGGAAGCTGGGAGGCAGAGGATCAAAGGGAAGATTAGAAATCTTTGTCCATCATCACCAGGTGTATGAATAACAGACACAGACATTAGAACATAGAGTATTTTCTTAGATTTTCAATTCTGCCTGGTATACTGCCATCAATTGTCCCATTTAGTCCACCACCAAGTTTGTTCTGTACCTGTGGAAGGGTCTGCTTTCCTATTCTACCACTCCAATTGAAAAGACCCTGGTCTTAATGTTACGCTGCTCTCCATCTGCCTGCACATAGTGGCTCTCTAGAGTGATGTTGGAAAAAAACAAATCTGAACCAGTCATTTCTTTGCTTAAACCTCTGTTCTGCTTAGGGTAGACCTGGTCCCAGCTCTACTCTACCCTCACCCAACCTCATTCCCTCAACATTATATATGTGGTGCAGAGGCTCCCCCCGCATCCCCCAATTCCTATCACAAGCCTCAGGGCCTTTGCATGTATGGTTCCCCCAGCCTGGTTCTCAATCCTCTCTTCTCCCAATTCCTCTTGCTCATCCTTACTGGGTCAGCTCATCCCCAATCATCCCTTAGTCATCACACTCCTCTCCCATAGAACTAGGTCAAGATTTGCATTTATAAGGCAACTCTTTGACTATTTCTCATAAGATTTACGAGTTTCATAAACAGTATTTATCTTTTACTTACCATCATATTACCAGCTGGCAATATAATGGTAACAGTATATCTGGCAATTGAGGCCTGAGTCAACCTCCATTGACTGAATAAACAGTAACTTTTGTGATCTTCAAGGAAATGAGTGTACGGATTTAAGAATCCTGGGTTCAATTCTTAACTCTGCCATTTGTCAGTCATGTTATCTTGGGAAATTCAATGCACTGGGCTAAGCTTTAGTTTTCTCATGAGTAAACCATATTCACATGATTATGAAGATAAGAGATAACATATACTAATTGAACATCCAGTAGGCTCTCAACAAGAGCAGATATCACCATCATCACTATCTAACTTAGGGCCCAGGGGGTGAAAGGTCCTCTAATGAAGCCACATAGCTTCTCAGAAAGAAGTGACAGACACCCAAAAAGGAAACAGATAGTAACATTTTTTATTAAATATTACAGTGGATCAAAAAGTACAAAATATCTCTTGCCTGCTATGTGATTGGGAAACTATTGGCACGTAATACAGTATCAAAAGCAGTAATAAGTACAATTTGGAAAACATACAAAATTGAGTGTTTATAGTTGGCTCAGCATTCTTCTGGTAGTGTTTAAACTAATGCAAAGGTTACTCAATAACCTCTCCATTGGGAAACTATATAATATCACTGGGCCACGTTGCTATATACAAATAATCACCTTACAGAGCATAGAGGTTACATAGCTGGAATCACCAAAAGTATACAATATTTACAACACAGGAAAGTTTAAAAAAGTATAAACAGCCAAGAGATTATGCTGCTATTCTTCAGACATATTTCAACCATGGGGAGACAAGCAGAATACCAAATACGTCAACAGCCCACACTGGAGTTGAAGTGCTCAAGGTAATCACGGCAAGGGTGTGGGTCTCACCAGGGCGAAATCGTTCCCATTTCTCTTTAAAATCGGGACAAGAGTAAAACTAGACCAAATGGGACTTGGCTGACCACCACCAAATGTGACTTTGTGGGACAACAAGTGAAGAGAAATAAATGGTTCTCTTTGAAGGCACACTACATAAAATATTTTTGTGGGACCACCTTGAAATTTCCATCAGACACACCAACACAGTGAAATACAGTACTTGAGAATTCATGCACCAGGTCAGAAAGTTGTAAAGTCAGTATTGAGTTTTAACAAACCCTCCTGTATATGCCCTGATAAACAAGTGAACTTAAGAGCTTCTAGCTAGTAAATAAATAAGTCAGTCCTGTGGCAAATATTACAAGTGTGAATCACTTATTAGGAGAATACTTAGTTCTGAAACTCAGTTAGACTGGGCTTTTTTTGTTGTTGTTTTTTTCTTTTCTTTCTTTTTTTTTTTTTTTTAATGTTGAGTTGCCAAAAGTTAGGCCAGAAGTTACATGGAAAGGTTTTTTWAAAAAATATTATTTGGAATCTCCAAATCTCCAATAAATCACAGGCTTAGTGCATTTTGAATTGCAACATTTCTTGGAAGCCACACTCAGTAAATAGATTTATAACTCCATTACCAATTAGATTCCACAGTTTCCTTTACAGAACTACCAATAACAATGGTTTGATTGCACAAAGAAAGACTTGTGCAATCCCATTCAATAATAAGGCCCCTTGAACTCAAACAATGCAAACAAAGCCCTATTTAAGACTTTTTAAAACATAGTTCTCAGCCAATGAAGAATTCAATGGTCTTCCTGAAAGATTTCCAAGATCTCTGTTCGGAGTTTTAAAACAAATAACACTCAGCTTCTGTTGGGAATGTATACCCCCATCTCTATATTTGTCCTGATGTTTTGCCGAGGGTATGAGCTTCCTCAGACAGAAACAGTGAGTCTCCTCTCGGAAGAGATGAGAAAAACAAAAGCTGGACTATGTTAACATTGTTTGAAAATGGTGTGATCAAATTCCAACAGGATGAAACCAGACTGAAATCATCATCGCAGTGGGGAAAACAAATGCCCCATCTTCCAAATGGACAGGTGAGCTCTACTGGGGACAGATGGCCCCCATTTTCTTTGAGAAACAAACTCACAGAAACCATGTACAGTCTAGCCCACGTCTGCTGCAGAATCATCAGAGTTTCATTTTCTTCCATGTCCTTGATTCTGTGACCATTCAATCTAGTGCAACTTTCTTATATGTGTCCTGGCCAGCATCTTGCCAGCTGAAATTAAGATTCTTTCCCCCTTATTCTTGTGCAATAGCAGGATAATCTGCACTCACACATTTATAATCTAAATTCTACTAGTCTACCTATGGTTCTATTAAATATATATATATATATATATATTATTCCACAGGAAGGTAAATAATTAATTGAAGCAAATGGAACTCTTAACACTGGATCTCTACATTCTTTTGTTTCCACCTTTGGATATTAAGTATGTTACATGGAATATTTGGCTTCATATCATGGAGACATTTCAATACAGATGCACRGCATGCATGGCTTTGTGTAAGAGCCGTAGTTTCATTGTTATCAGTTTTGATTATTTTGCAGTCGAGTTACCTATTTAGAAGTCAAAAATTGTCATCAATTTTCATAGACTTAAAATATCTCAGAGGTAAAAGACTTGGTTAACTATGGTCCTAAAGTCTACCGGTAGTGTTGGGGGCAGGGGACAGGGGGCTGGGGGTTCATCAAAGCAGTCTGCAACAGGGCTGGATGGGAAGGGGAAAGAAGATCCACTCTCTACCGACCAACTCTTCACACACTGCGAAAATGCATCCGCCTTGATGTTGTATCTCAGGAGCCAATGGAACAAAGTGGCCAGAATGACAAGAGGCATTCTCCACACCTTTTGACTGCTTCAACAGCTCAACCACTAATTTCCAACAATAAAATAAATGATCAAGTGGACTGGTATTGCCAGGCARTTAAAAACATGGCACAGAGCATGGGAAGTGTGCACAAGCACCCAAAACTCACATCCCATCCCTCCAAAGAGGATGACTTTCTTTTGAAACAGGTAATCCATCATGGCAAATAGACCCTGGGAGAATCTTCTTGGGGATGACAAGAAACCAACTGATGAAAAGCAGTGTGAGTTGCTACCACTCCAGGGGCCAAGGCCCAGAGAAGCCATGTGGCGGCCGGCCAGGCCTTCCGCTGCTCCTCAGCTGAAGGCTCAAGCTCCACCCTCTCCCCAACCCCCTTTCCCAGACCCTTTAAAGGGAGCAGTGCCAACACCGATAGAAGTCATTCTGGCTTCTGTTTTAATTTTTGAAATTCCTAAAATATCTGTGCAGCCCACAAATATGTCCTCTAGATGCTGTTGTTATTCAGCAGCTTGCTGCCAGTGAGGTTTTTTGTTTTTTATGATTCCTCTGGTATGTAGGACAGTTTCACAGCCTAGATAAGGTAAGTACAATGCTCAATATTTTCACATCACCCAATACTTCAAAGCAAAGCATTTGGCCGGACAAGCAGTGTATAAGCTCTTTCAACTATGCCATTTATGAGGAACAAACTCCGTAAGTTGTGGATCTGCAAAGGAACGTTCTCTGCACTGTGGTGTGCTCGACTGGGTCTTTTTTCATTTGTTCCACTAGAATCAGTTGCTTCAATATGTAAACAATAACTTTACCACCCAAAGCTGCTCAAAATGATAAGATGTGGAAAAATTACAAACACACATCAACAACAAGGACAGTCAGTCAGCCTTAAAACAAAAACAAAAAAACAAAAGACCTGCAAACAAAAGCAAAACTGTTTAATTAAAAAATATATATATATATAGGGACATGAAGGAACCGGGAGAAAAATGGAACTACCTGTATATAAATTAGGTGAGCAAACAGTGATACGGGTAGTTTTAAGAAGCAAATATATACAGTCAATTTAACAGTGTTTACTTCTCTGGATTGTTTAATAGTGTCAAAATGAAAGATCTACTGAAGTTTCACTATACATTGCATTGATTGAACGTTGGAGAGTTTTTTTGAAAAAAGGGGCATTCCTTGGCTATGTGTGCCAGTCTCTCTTGCCCCTTTCTTTGAAAAGCCTGCCCCCATTTTTGCACAGATTGTTTCCCAACCATCCAAACTCAGATGGGGTCCTCTAAGTTCTTCCTGGATATACATCAATCCCTTCACAAGACCCATCAGCAAAGTGAATGATCTGGAGGCGCCGGGGGCATGCRCATTGCAAGGGGATCAAGACCGACCAGCCAAGGCTGGAGTTGTCCCAGAAAAATCAGGCCTGTTCACCTCCCTCTCTCGGCCTCTATGGCTGGGACGAATCGTACCCCCAGATTAGAAGGAATACTGACTTCTAACTCTATAAGCCATCACCCCTGGGTAGGGAGTGAGCCTCTGATAGCCACCCCATTTGGGGATGCTAGGCAGAGCCGGGCTTACAGTTTTGTACTGGGGTGTACGGACGACAGCTGGGAAGATGGAAAGGCAGCTTGAGGATTTATAGCAGCTAAAGGGTAAATGCTGTTGTGCAAAAGGTCCCCGTACGAACTTCCTACAGGTGTGGCCGCAGCCAAGTGTCTGTACAGCTGCTGAGAATTTGTCGGTGATGTAAAAATTCCCCTCTGCATCACCAGCGAGTGGAAAGCCAAGGGCTGCATGAGTGGAGAAAGCACAGTTTGGTTTTTCAAGTACTGCAGAGAATGAGAATACCCAGCTGGGAGCCTGGAGTTGAGGCCCGAGTTACACAGGCTCCCCGAATACAAACCTGGGAAGATAGGGGAGGAGAGGGGAAGCTTGTGGCCCTCGGATCCGCCCCCGGAATGCCCACCACCACCATAGGCTGCCTTGCCTCCTTCACTCTCCTGCTCGGAGGCCTTCTCTTTCCCAGAGACCTCCTTGGACGGGTCCAGGGGAGACACTGCCCGGGCCTTTTTCCCAGCAATCACCAGGTCCAAATCCTCCAGGCTGCGCTTGATGGGACGTGCTGCACCAATGTTCTGGGGGCTCATTTTCCGGTGCAGGATAGGATGGACCATGCCTTCCATCTTTCTGAAATTCTCCAGTCTCACGTGGTGAGGTTTCCCCGATCTCGAGAGTGACTCTGGGTACTTTTTAGGGGCCGACATGGTCATGGGCGATACCCGACAGGCTTTGGGGTGGCAGTCTCGACTCTGGCTGCTGACGACCTGGAACTGGGAGATTCCTTTGTTCTCCTGCGGCCCTGTGGCTGAGTGGGCCAGGCCCAGGACCTTGCCGGTTGGTTTATGTGGGTTCTTGGGAAGGCTCAGATCCGTTGGTTGATCATCCGTAGGGGCTTCTGCAGCGGCCAACTTTTCTGAGGCCAACTTTTTGTCTTGCAGATGCAAAGATGCCAGATAATTTACATGGAGCTTTTCTTGATGTTTGTGGGAAGGGAAAGAACTGTTTTCCGATTCCCTGTACATGTCTCTAGAAAGATACTTGGGTGTCTGTTCATTATGAAGATGGTGTTCGGTGTGTCGATAGAGGCTATGGAGATGTGGGGATGAGTAGAAATCTGCCAGGAAGCTGGGCATGTGGGAATGGGGGAGTGCCCTCTTCTCTAAGAGTTTATCCTTGCCCTCCTGAATTTCTTGCTTCAGGACATAGGAGTCAGCCAAGGAGTTCAGGTGATGCTTGGAGAAGCTGCAGCGGTGGGCATCTGATCGACTCAGCTTGTCATGCTTAAAAATGTCATTGATGCTCTTTCTGTCCTCCGAGGGCTTGCTTTTGAAACTCTGGACATGCTGAATCACCGATGGCCGGCTGACCGCCATGTGGTCGGCGCTCTGACTGTGGTGGGCCTGGGACAAACCAGAACACAAATCATCCCTGGCTATCAATTTCTTTTTGCTGATCAAAGGGGGTGGGGAGCCATAGGGGTAGCTGCTGGAGAGGCTGGCCCCACTCACTTGGGACAAAAGCTTTTTCTTGGCCAGTGGGGACATGATGCCCGGGTTGCCCCGAGAGTAGAGCAGGGGTGTGTAATTAAGTCCATGGTTCTCATTCATGGGTCCAGTCAGGTCTTTGTCCTTGAACATGTCAAATGACTGGACCACAAGGACCTTGGGGGTCTGCTTTAGTGCATTGTGGATGTCGTCACTGCCCAGCTGGTCCACCTTCACAGTGCAGTTGGCGATGTAATCAGCCATGGCGGGTAGTTTGTCATCCTCGATGTCATTCTGGTTGGCCAGTGGTGGCTGAGTAGAGGGGAAACTGGCAAAAGATGCTTCTTGGAGGTCACTGTCAGGGTTCTCTGTAAAACAGCAGGGTTTGGATTCTGGCTTTGAGTCCACCAGGACATTAGGAGAGGTGAGGGACTGCTTGCCAGCCCCAGGGATTGGGACCGGATCCCTTTCAGGAGCCACGGGTGTGCTCGGGAGCGGAGCTGCCGGTCCCTTCTCTCCCACCTCCTCCGCCTCTTTCTCACTGTTGGAACCTTGGTCCGTTTCATTGTCGTTTTCTGGGTCTGTTCTGGATGCCAGGGACCTTGCTGTAAAATCCTGGTACCCTTCCGCTTTTTTCTTCAAGTCAGCTGCTGGGAGAGGCTCTGTGATGCTTTTCTGGTTTAAAGTCTCTTGTTCTTTCTCTTGCTCTGATGAAACCTGATAAAATATTTCAAAAGACAAGTCAGAAGAAAACCAGATACACTTGACACGTTTTGCTACGAAATAAAATGTTACACACAGCAGTTTTTCTTGAAAACAGGCTTGTCAATCAGCTCACCGCGTTTCCGTAAGGTTTTATTACTCCCCAATCATGGCTCTAAACAAAGAAATCTAAATTACAGAAACATTAGGGGAAATATGCATATTCACTTCATTCCCTCATGAGACACCTATCAAAATAGCAAAGTGTTATGTACTGATGGTATACAATCACATCACTCCTTGATTCTAATATATAGTTTAATTCTAAGGTTGTCTTCTTGTCAAATCAGTCAATTATCCAAATGGGTTTTAAATTACATGTTGTGTTTTATGACACTTCTGAGAAAAGATTTTTTAAGCATCTCTCTTTCAAATATCCAACCAACTCCACGTCAACAACAACAAACAGTACTCTTCGCCTTTCTTTGGAGAGCAAATCCCTTCCTAATGTGTTCACTATGATGCATTGGAAATTAGTGGGGCTCGAGTGTCCATGATTTCCACTCTATGACATTGTGGCAGACAGACAGTGCTAAAATATTGAAGAAGTATGCAGACACCAAGGTAGTCTGTCCACCTGAGGGACAGAGAATGTTCTAAGTCCTTCTGGGCTTGAGCAAACGATATTTCTATCACAGCCAAAAATGAAATTGCGGGAATTTATGCGCTGAGTGCCACCACACATATAGCTCTTATGTTCACTACGATAAATTAAAGTCAATCCGATGGATGTTTTTTATGTGTCTCTATTCACAGAAGTTGTGGGCACCGTTTAACCCATTTATTGTATTATATAGCTATGTAAGCTTTGACCTTAAAAGATCATTTTAACTTTTCATCAGTGGTCCAGCTGACTGACAAATCTTTTCAAAATTGCTGTCATTCTGCCCTTCCATGTCTTCATGAAGGAGTCACAAAACAGTGGTGTTGGTTGGTTCCCCCCTTCCCCTGCCCCAATCTCATCCCTAGAACTTTGCCCTTTCTTAAGGGAAGAAATGCCAACCACATTAGCATCTTTGAGTTAAGACTGAAAATTCTGGTACAGGGATACATAGGAACAAAAATTTTAAGGGATCACACCCATTTCATAGACATTTCTCCTCAAATCCCCCTAAACATATTTCTGCTTTCTAGGGTTGTGTTATATAACTAAGTGCCTCTGCTTATCCCCTCCCTTTCTTTCACTAATAGCTGCTTTTTTTTTCAGTACAAATATCATTACTTGTTCTACATTAATAATCAGCATTGGTCTCTTGAGCTTATGCATTGCATGAAAATACAGAAAAATGAGTAAAGGCGAATGCAAAAGGCAAACTGCATTTAATTGTTACTTTCTGATGGGACTGTAGTTTGAAGTGAGGCTCTGGGGAGTACTCAGTCACACTGAAGTTTCTATAACCTAGGCCTTCAGTTCTATTGGAATCTCATCCCTCTGGCTATAAAGGAGGTTTAGAGTGTGTGAGAGCTAGGCTGAAAAAAGCAGAAGGCCCTTTTCCTAAGATTTTATGATCTGCTTTAGTATGCTGAAGGCTAAATGAGATCTTCCCTGAAGTAGCTTGCAATTCAATCACCTGAAGATAGGGGATCTCACTAGAAGAGGTTGATCACCCCTCCCATCTCCACAGAATGTAGTGCTTTACATAAAAGAAAAAGAAAAAGAAAAAAAAACCCAAAATGTAAAAAAAAAAAAAAAACCAAATAATTGAATCCAATTGAATTCAATGAGAAGAAATATAATTCAATAATGTGGGTTTATGTTAGAGGTGGGGGGTGATTCTGACTATAAGCCCAGTTTTGAAGAGGGTGGAAAATTCGGTGTTGTTCAGAGAACCTCACAGGTCAACCCTGTGACACTCCAGACACAGATAAGTCCTGAAGAGCACAGCTGGGGCCTGTAGGAAACAAGGAGCCTCACAGCTTTCAGGGTTTCTTTGGACTCTGGGGAGAAGGCTGCACTCTTGGGAATGATCATCTGCCCGGCTGGGCCGACAGGCTCAGTGTGGTGGGGCTGAGGATCCTCCCACAACTCGCAAACCAACYGTTTCAAACTTCACCCCCAAAATGGAGCCATTCCAAGGTCAGCCGGCCCCTTGGTCCTCAGTTTGTCCCCTGGTGCTCTGGCAGCACTGTATATATGGTATCTAATAGAATTCACTGATCCGAAACCCTATAATAAATCACCAGGCCAACAGGATAAAGGAAGAATGGAATGTAAGCCTTAACTTGGAATTTCCTTGCTTTTGGCCATTTGTGTTGCAAATTTGCAGATGTTTAAAAGTCTGCATCATCTTTCTTCCCCCCTTCCTTTTAAAATTACTAGAGCTTAAGATAATTAGGAAACTTAAAAAATAAGAACAAAACCAAAATTTCTCCTCTTGGTATTAATAGTTTCTTCATACAGAGGAATCAGTTGGATAAGTTAATATCGTGATGAGGTTGAGAGAGAGATAGAGAGAGAGAGAGAGCAAGCTAGCATGTTTTAAACTGGAGTTTAATTAGGGAGTCTCTTATGTGTTCATTATAAGCCTGATTTTTAGAGGGTGTTTAATATCAGCATCAAAATTCCCTCAGGGGTTGAATTCTAGAACATGCTGTCTCCAAATGTGGCTGCTAAGTTTTGTTTTTCAATTTTTTTTTTTAATGGGCAGTGGATTTTTTTGTTCTTATTATTATTCATGTTGAAACGGAGCCCAGACCAGCCTCCATGGCTGGCTGTATGCTGACAGTAATGGTTTCTACCAAAGAGCAACAGTTGGGGTCTGTGGGTAGACAGGACTTGTTTCAAAAGGTTAAGAAACTACCTGTTAATAGGAGAGATAATAATAGTTTCAGAGGAACCATTTCAAAAATTCCCCTATAAATAATAGGTACTTAAGATATTGCTAAATCGGTCCCCACCCAGGGCTGCTGCATAGAGGTCCATTCCAATGGAGACTCACAGCTTCTAGAGTTTCAGCAGAGTCCTGCTGAGTCAGAGCAGTCATTTCACTGCCATCCTCCTTAGACTGACCCCCCCCCAAACAAAGCTGCACCCCACCACCCAGATTAACTCTCTGTGAGATGGGGGAAGCATTGTTTCACTATGGAATCCCTGGGTTTCAGAAAGAGCTGCAGCCCTGACTCCTTCCATCTCAAAGTCTGAGCATTTGTTCCGTTTTCTACAGGATGTTCTCATCTCTCTAGATTCTCGACTTAGCATATCTCATTCCATCCTGTGCACGGCATCTCATCTCCCCAACAAACCAAAGAGTCTTCAAGAACTGGACAACTATGGTGGGCGGGGAGGGGGGCTGTGAAGCTCAGGTGTGAGATTTCTCAGTCCAGCTATGAACTCTGCAGGAACACAGCTATGGATTCGGGGTTCCAGAAGATGTCAGGTCAGGACACTGTCTTCACTCCTGTGGAGCACAGCGACTCACCTCCGCTGCATCCTGGGGCTTTGGAGCATTCTCTTTTTCTTTTTTGCTCTTAGGTATTTCATGTTTGATGCGCTTGGCTCCTGATACTTTTGTTTTATTTTCATTTTCCTGTGCACTGTTCTCCTGTTTTCGAGGTTTGATTGGAGGCAAGGGCTTATCTTCCTCTCCTTTAATAAACCTTTCATATGGCAGGATTAATCTACAAGAAGAGCAGAAGAGATGATAAATCAGCTGACCAACTCCAGCAGTCTCTATGCTGTGGGGGGTTTGCTTTCTTTTCTCAGTACGGTAGTCCCTTTGCACAGGACTTGGTCTAAACCCCCACAGAAGCAAACCAACCTAATTTATGAATTAGGTACAGTAAGCGATTACCCATCATAACTAATAATACAATAGGACAATTATTATAATGATTACTGTAATAAAGGTTATATGAACATGGTCCCTCTCTCTTGAATGAGTCAAGACAAATATTATTTTTGGACTGTGGTTGACCTTGGGCAACTGAAACCACAGAAAGCAAAAGCACCACGGATAAGAGAGGACTACTCTACAAACAACTTGTTAAATTATTGCCAGCAATCCAAATGCGTTCTAGAAACTTCCAGAGCTGAGTGGTGAAAGTCTCTACCTGGCCATTTAAATATTCCTCTGCAAGACAGACATCCTCCTTGGATTTTGTGAGTCTAGATACCAAAGATGCCAAACGGATACATTCAAGGTTGACAACATCCTCATTATAGCCCATGGCACTTGGCTACATGCCAACAACACCACAACAGTAATGATAGTTTCTGTTAATTTTTCAGTCCATCACTGTTCATTGAGCACCTATTATGCCAGGCAGTGCTCTAGATGCTGAGATACAGCAGTGACTCAAATATCCAAAGCCTCTGACCTCATGAAGGGACTAGTATGTGCCAAGTACGTTATACAGACCATTTCACATACTCTTYCCCACATCCCTATTCTTCTTTTAAGCATATGAGACAACTGAGATCCAAAATGGCTAAATAATTTGCATAAGACACTTGTTAGAGCTAGAATTTGAATCTGGCCATACCTATCTCCAAAGCTTTTATTTTTATCCACCTTAAAATGCAGACCTGACACCTAGGATGAAAAGGTCAAGGGCAGGCAGGCTCAGTGTGGCTGAGATGCAGCCTTTTCCTACAGCTCTGGGGAGACAGGTGATGCCAACCTGAAGAGGTCTGTTTTAGGGTGCCAAGTCCAAGAGGGCCCCAGAGAGAAGTAACCAGACCAACCACTCGAGCCACAAAAATCAGAGGGCTGAAAAATTCAAGCATTTTAATTATATAACTTTTTAAACAAAGTGCATAAAATTGCTCTAAAAAGAGAAACATCAAACAGCTCTGGTTTTAATCTGTTTTCCCTTTGCGATGCAGCTCTTGATCTGAACGGGAAAAGAGCTGATGTAATTAAAAGGCACGGATTGCATTACAATCTCAGTTTCAACTTCAGTGATTAAAGTTTTTATAATGCATTTGGTATGATTAATGACTCACTGTGGGATTAATACAAGACCCAGCCTTAAAAATATGAACTTTAATACAGCAAACATAATTTGTTTTAAATAAGACAAGTTGACTCAATGAAGAAAATGCAGTTGGCTTATAAACAACCAAAATCTGTTCAAATATTGGGAATCCTAATTATTTTTACACTAAGACACCCAGGCAAAAACTTCTTTGCTTTGGATATTTGTTTGCTATTCTAAAATTGCTTTCTAACTACATAATTTAGATCTCAGCTACTTAAACATACACAACTGTTCAGGTTTGAAATTAACGGGGCTGGGGGGGGGCATTTGGGAACATAATATATCATTCTTTAAAAGCAAACCAAGTAAATGGTGGGAAAATCAAATCCCAATTTATAATATATCTGAAACCAAATTCATTTACTGAGCATGCTCGGACAAGGTATGTGCAAGGAGGCGTGAATAATACCTCGGAGCCCTCCATCTGGCAGTGGGCCAGCCATGAAGATCAACACAGCCCATGGGGAATAGTTATCTTCAGATCCCATTACAAACTGAGTTTAAACATGTTACAGCTGCTAAAACTGGAAACTGCTCCCTCTATGTGGACTTACTAAAATAATATATGGCTGCCAAATACCTGCTTCCCACTGTAATATTACAGTTAATGTTTATATAATAAAAAGCATAACTAAGCAGACACGAGAAAAAAAGCAATCTTGTTCATACTTGAATTTATTCTGTCTCATCTGTGAAGTCCTCAACATTTCCCCCCACCCCCCAATTCCTTTTATCTGAGTAATTCTGCCAGGGACTTTATCCCTTTCAGTATCAGCAGGTTAGGGATTGTCCGGRAACAAGACGCCTTGAATATTTTAAATTGGAAAAATATTTTAAATTAATTTTAATAAAAACATATTTTATTGTGGGGACAGATAGGTTTGTTTTACTTTTGTTTTGTTGCCATGGGAACGCAAGGAGCTTGGAAGCCTGGGTATTCCATTTGCTGGTACTACCCTTCCCCCAGCTTCATTCTCTAATTGAGATGGTGACACCATGAGGGACCCTCTTTCCTGAGAAGAATTACAGCATTACCYCTGAGTGTGGGGAGGGGGTTGAGGGAAAGCAGAGACCTGGGGTGGGGGAGACACCCAATGGGTCCCAAAGGACCCCTTGCCCTGAGTTCTGACAGTCTTGGGCSAACTCAGCTCTCTAGATGGGTGCTAAGGAGACTTTAATTTCCTTTTACAATTTTGCAAGTTCATGAAGCAGGGCAACATTTTCATTTCTTTTTTCTTTTTCCTGTCTTTTTTTTTTTCCCCCTCTCCCCTTCACTCAACTCAGCAGCTGGCGGTTCGACAGCAGTAAAAAATACATTTCACTTTGCTGGTCAAAGGCCTAAAGCCAGAAGCAGGAAATCTGGAATTAAATGTTTCTTGTATCTGGAAAGAGGCATGACTAAGGTAAAACTGAATCCAAACACAAGCTCTGCCTGTTCAAGGCTTCCAAAGGAAAGTGTGTGTGTGTGTGTGTGTGTGTGTGTGTGTACACAAAGGTCAATTGAATTTTTTTCCCCTTCTAAATCATTGAAAGATAATTATAGTGGTGGGGAGGTGGGGGGTAAAAAGGCTCCCAGAATAAAACAAGAAAGGCAGCAGTTAAAAGGAAACAAGTAAAAATATGACTAGCTAAGCTCTGAAGAGAAGGGCATGTTCTCCCATAGCACAGAAACAATCGCTGCTTCATAGAGTGATTTCYGTTTGGTACGATTTTCACTGAATGTTTTTTCAGTTATCCTGTCATGGTACAACACAATTACCCCACAGGATATGATCTTATCATTTGATTATTAGAAGTTTTTACAGTACAAGAGGACGAAAGCTATTATAGGTTTCTGAACATTTAAACGTTCAACGTACATGGGGTAGTATTAAAAACAGGTTTGCCAATATAAGGTCAACATTGCCCAATGCAGGAAGCTGCGTAGGTTTGTATTATATAAAGAATTCAGCATAATGCAACCTGCCTGCGCCTTGAAGATTATTATTCCTCAAATATTTGTAGTACAACAAAGATTTAATCAGTTTCTAAACTGTGCAGATAAAAGCAAAAATGCACCCAGTCCCCAAGAATTCATTATACAGGAGAAATATTTTCAATGGGCTGCATCTCTTAAAAACGGGGGCTGGATTTTAGGTGGGTGTCAGTAATGGGGAAGAKAAGTAATATACTCATTAGTAAATCAGAAACACCCCCCTCCATCTAGTCTGGGGATTGAAAGCTGGGCACATAAATGGGTCTTTATTTTTATCCAGATTTCACATTTCAGATTAGTAAAATGCTTATTTATGATGCCATTAATGGATCTGAAATAGGTAAGCCATCATGTATTAAAAAATAACATCTTTTCATAGGCATAAGATTTGTAGCAGCATGAGATTTTATTTTTCCCTAGGAATAATACAAGAATAACATTTTCTACCCCAAAGCAGAAACAGTAGGGGAGCCTTTTGCTATCACAGAGATTCTTATTAAATTCAGTCACTGTGAAAAGCAAGATTTTTTTTCTCCTTCTCATTCTTTCTCCTCCTCTTCTTTTTTATTTTAAATAAAGAAGACTTAAAATCAACCCAAGTTAAAATTAACAAATCAATGGCATTATAACCTTGATTTATTAGTGTCTGAGCCAGTAAATTATCATCATACAAGAAATTGCTGGTTTGAAAAGACTTCGGCTTTGCTAAATCTCAAGTTAAATAATGGTGCTCGGTATACTAGGGTTTTAGATTTGCCTCATCTGATATTATAAAAAATTCAATACATTTCTCTACAGCAGAAGTCAGGGGTCAGCAAATCTATTACTGTAATGTAAGTAATCTGGCAACCTGCCAACTCCTTCTCCCTTTTATTATTTTTTTAAACACCAAGGCAGATAATTTTATATTTACAAAGTCTAAAATCCTCCAGGGCCTTGCCTCTCTTTCTCAACAAAAAGCAGCAGCCTGACATTAGAGAAATGTATATCACACATGTCCTCATCATTTGCATTTCATACAAAAGAAGAAAAGACCCTTCATCTTTATTAGGCAACATTCCTCTCCCCTCCCCACAAACAGAGGAAAAATAATGTCAAATCTCATCTGAACGAGTAACCACTAATGTCTCCCGTATTGATTAATGCTTGCATGGAATGACTGAACTTTTGGGCCAAAACATTTAGCAAACAGTGCTTAAGAGAAGAAATGAGAATCCATCTATTTATAGAGCTCTGAAAAATGATATTATAATAATGTCTGGAACTGATTCAATTCAGAGAGTGGGGGAAAAGAAGTAGGAAATCTTGAGGGTTGTATTTGAATCTCAACTCACCCATTACTTCATAGGCACTTTCATAATATTAAATCAATGAAAAATTCTAGGTCTAGATATTTGCTAGTATTCTTGGAGCAGAATATTTAAGAGGCAGAAGGAAATATAGTTGGTGTGCATGTCAGGTCAAAAATGTTACTACTATTCTTATACTATTAGGTGTTTTTTTTGTGTGTGTGGCAGTAGAAAAGAAATGACATATTGGTTCCACTGGGGCTTCGGACCTGATCTGATCCCAAATGGACTCATTACACCTCTGAGTTGATTTCAGGGTTGATAAATTCTAAGTCTTGGCCAGACGTTTCCCTTCGCAGCCAGAAATTGAAAAT